GAGATATGTACATATTTATATGGGTGTGTGCTTCTGTGTGTGTGTGATATGCACATTTGTATGAGTATGTGCTTGTGTGTGTGTGACATACACATTTGTATGGGTGTGTGCTTGTGTGTGTGATATGTACACATTTGTATGGGTGTGTGCTTGTGTGTGTAACATATTCACATATTTATATGGGTGTGTGTTCATGTATGTGTGTGCTCCTGTGTAGACCAGAGATCAATGTTAAGTGTCTTAATTGCTTCTCCACTTTTTAAAATTTTGACTTATTTTAATATTTTTTATGTGTATGAATGTTTTACCTGCATGTATGTAAGGGTACCATATGTATACAATGCCCACAGAGGCCAAAAGAAGGTGTTGGGTCCCCCGGAACTGTTGTTGGGAACAGTTGTTAGCTGCCACATGGGTGTTGGGAACCAAACCCAGGTCCTCTGCAAGAGCAGCCAGTACTCTTAACCGCTGAGCCATGTCTCCAGCCCCTTTCTGCCTTATTCTTTGAGACAAGGTCTCTCACTAAACCTGGAGCTCACCGATTAGACAGACAGGTTGGCCAATAAGTTCCAGGGATCCTCCTGTCCCTAGCTTCACCCTTGGCTCTTCTATGTGGATGCTGGTGTGTGTGTGTGTGTGTGTGTGTGTGTGTGTGTGTGTGTGTGTGTGTGTGTTTTTTTCTCATCTTTGAGTGGTGGCAGGTACTTTACCCACTGAACCATCTTCCCAGCCTCCTGGGACATTTTGATGGAGTTAAGGCTGTCAGAGTGGGAGGTCTTGGTAGCTTATGCTGTTGCTAAATACGTTATGGGAAAATGTTTACCTAAGGCAGGGCAAAGGGAGTCACAACCTCGGGACACTCAGGGTCCAAATGGAGGAACTTTGAGCAAGAGGAGCTAGATTCTTGCAAAGAAAGTTGAGGGGCTACAGAAAACTGGACCCACTTCACAGAAATAATCTCAATGGGAGTTGATGGCTCTTCTGCAAACTGGGGGACCCAAAGAACCAATTCCCTGTAGAGGGCAAGCCTGGGAGGGATACTTAGAGCCCAGAGCTTGCAAACACTGCATGACTGTGCACAGCTGTGGGAGGGGCAAATAGATGAGGTGGGCCTATCGTTCCGGGAGAAGTATTTGTGTCAATTGCAAATTAGAGGCCTCAGTAGAAGCACCTGGGCCTCTGTTCCCAACCACCCTAGTCAGAAACGTTGGGATCATCACAGACAAGGAGCGTTAATGGAGGCTGGGCTCCAGTCCAAGGGGAGAAGGCAGTCCAAGGCTGTGTGGCTGCATTGGGCGCTGCCAGGTCTGTGGCACACAAGGGTCTTGTGAGTGAAGCGTGTCGGTCAAGTCTTCACCATATTATGTCAACTTGTTCTTAAAACCTCAGAGGGACAGCTGGGTCTCTCAGGAAGGGCGGGCTTGTATGAGTCCTTTTCAGAGAAAGAAAAAGGCTGGGGAAGGGTGCCCTCTGAGACAGGGGCAGGGGCCTCGTGGGAGTGGTCAAGTCCCTTCTGGGGGTCTGGGGAGTCAATGGTGAGTCTAAGGAAGATATCTTCACAAGGACAAGTAGACTTATCACATGGGAGCACGCAAGAGCCACCCCTCCACTGCATGGGATGTGTCTGTGGAGGAGTGGAAGTGTGGGGTGGGGCCAGGGCAACTCTTCCTGACACAACAGTGGTGCCAACGCTTATATTTATGAGACAAGTGTCGGGGAGAAAGTGCAGGTTGAGTTGTGCCTCCACATGTTGAATGCTAGAACCCCCAAGACCTCAGAATGCGGCCTTATTGGGAGAAAAGACCTTCATTCATTGCACCTAAAGCCAAATAAATGTACGGTTAGGGTTGATCCAATATGGCTGGTGTCTTTATAAGAAAGAAAAATGTGAGGAACTTCCATTCTGCATCCTACAATGGCTCTAGTAATTTATATTCCCACCACCAGTGTGCAAGTTTGTTTTATCCTTGTGTCCTCAACAATACCTAAGAGAGGGTGTTTTGAGTTAATCACTGCAAAGAAATGGTATTTAAGGTGATAGATATGCTAACTACAATGATTGGATCAAACATAATATATACCTCTCTTGAAACAATACATTGTACTTCATACATATGTGCAATAATTATGTGTCAATCAAGGAGAGGTGTGGAACTTTAGAGACACATACAGGAGGACACTGAGTAAGGATGAAACTAGAAACTGGAGTGATGCTTCAGCAAAGGAGGCAGTGCCAAAGATGGCTGAAAACCACCAGAATCCAGTCCAATGCCTGGAACAGATCCTTACAGCCTGCAGGAGCCTGCCCCCACGGAAATCTTGATCTTGTACTCTTTCCCCAGAACAATTAGATTCAAGTTCCATTGTTTGTCATGGGGTTTGTGGTACTGTGTGATGGCCTTTCTAGTAACTAAGACCCAGGGGTGGTCTTAGTGGTGGTGGGGGTGGGGGTGGGGAGCAGATGGCATCTGCTCCAGCCAGAAACACGGACCACACCCTTGGAATCAAGTGTCTTCCATGACAGACCACTGTGACAGAGCATGGCCATTGCAGTGTTCAGGCACAAAGAACAGGCCTGCACCCTCTACTGGTCAGACACAGACACTGTTGTGGCTTTTGTGACAACTCTCTTCCCTCAGCTTCCCTGGGTATGACCACCTCATCAGTAACAGCAAAGAGGCAAGGTTTGTAGAGGCCCAGCTTTTGAGCCCCTGCAGTAAAGAGCCTGCCATGCTCCCTGAAGTACTCAGTACAGACACATGCACACAGGCATCCCCTGTGCAACCAGCCCAAATGTGCCCACCTCAGGAGACCCCCTTTAGGGCTGCCCAGAATGAGAAGGTCAGTCCTTCTAAGTGTTCCTATTTAACAAGGGAGGGGCTCCCAGCCATGGGGATAAAAAAGTCAAGTCTCAGAAAATTATACATAGTATAGTGTAGTTTTGCATATTAAATTAAATGTGGTCAAAAACTTTGTAAAAAATTACATGTTCTTCCTAGGAGAAAACACACACATACACACACACACACATACACACACATGTACACACACACACACACACACACACACACACACACACGGGAAAGGTCTAGGAAGATCACATCAAAACTTGAGTGGCAGCCAGGCATGGTACTGTACACCTTTAATCCCAGCACTTGGGAGGCAGAGGCAGGTGGATCTCTGTGAGATGGAGGCCAGCCTGGTCTACATAGTGGGTTCCAGGCCAGCTGGGGCTACAGGGAGACCCTGTCTAAACAAAATGAAACAAACAAAAATACCCCACAAAACAACTTTAGTGGTAGACTAGTGAGATGGCTCAGCAGGTAAAGGTGCTTGCGAAACAAACCTGGGAACCTGAGATGGAGATGGATCCCGGGAATCTGTGTAAAGGTGGAAGGAAGGAGAGACTGACTCTCCAAAGCCATTCTCTGATCGTTCCCCACTTCCACACAAAAGAATAATAAATCAAGGAAATAAAAATATTAGTGGTGGTTTCTGGGGAATAATCTGTCATACTGTCATTTCCCTCTTTTTTGTTCCCTTTTCTGCCAAGGTAAATGTATTGGTGAATGATCTGTGTAACTAAAAGGTAACTTTGAAAGCAAAACAGCACTTCAGTGTGATTCTATTCTGGTTCTACAGAAGGTAAGGCAGCTAGAGTATACATACAATACAATGAGTTAATAAAAGTTGCTTTTGCTGCATAGGGCGATGATGGGGTGGGATCAGGAGAGAACTTTGACTTTCTGTGTCCTATGGCCATGTCTGGCTGTTTGTACCCTCCCCACCAAATTCACATACTGAAGCCTCATCTCCAATGTGAGGGCATTTGGAGGCGAGGGCCTTTTGGAGATCTTCTCTCATGATGGGACTAATGTCCCTATAAAAGAGGCCTCAGAGAAGTCCTTTACTCCTTCCACCAAGCAAAGACATTCTGAGAAGACACCACCATAAGCCAGAAACTGGGCTGTCACTGGACACTGGATTTCCCAGCACCTTGATCTTAGGCTTCCCAGAACTGTGAGGAAGAAATTTCTGTTGCTACAAGCCACCTCGCTTATGGCATTTGTTACAGCAGCTGGAACTGTTAGTGCAAAGCGCTCACCAAAGCAACTGTAAAGATTTTAAGATTTATAAATAAGCATGTACTAGTATTGGCAAAAATATCTAAAACTATGGAGGAAGATGAGTGGAAGAAGTTGGCAAAGAGAACCTGTAGTTCAGTCAGTTACACTAGGAAATCATCCAAGGGAGGAGATAGGCTGAGCAGGGCTGCCAAACAGAGCCACAAAGGTGGGGCACAATGGGCCTGAGGTGGTGAACAGCCCATCACACAGGGAAGCCTGAGTTGGAGTGGACCGGCTTTTCCCAGGAAAGCATGCTGGGAGCCCAGGGCCAACCACAGTGTTTCACCTCAGGAAGCAGAACCTCGTGAGTGTATGGGTGGGTCTCATCTAGGGTTGTTAACTGAATTCTCCATCCTGCCCTAGAGGGAGCTTTGCTAAGACTAAGATGCTCAAGTTCAAGGGATGTCTGAGAAGAAATGGGTGGGTTGACGGCCCAGGACATTTGGCTGTGGGGTCTGGCATTATGGAGCCATATCTAGACATTACAGAGCCTCAGTGGGCACTGTGGAGGGTTGCAGCTCTGGAACAGGCTGTGGGAACACTTAAGCTGTCAATCAAATGGAGTTAGGTAACTTGTGGGTGTGGCACAGAGAAGTAGTTGCCCACTGGACACCCCAAGAGACAGGCCTTCTGCCCCGGAGCCTTTCTAGTATCTCTTCCCCTACAGAAGGCTGGGAAGATGGGTGGTTGTGAGTCAGACATGGTGGGGATGGAGAGCCCAGCCACCTGGAACTCCCTCCTTACCCTGGTACTCCAGCTTGAATCCTGGTCGGTTCTGGGAGTGGTCACTGTGGAAGTACACAATAGTCTCGTGGGATGTGGAGAGCAGGGAGCCCGGAAGTTCACTTCCACTGAACCTGCCCATCATGCGGCTGGTCTCAGAGGGGCCACTCCGGATTTCTATGAAGTCATGGTTGGGTTCCGTTGAGAAGTTCAAGAACTGGATGTGAGCTCCTGGAAAAGAGACAGAGGCAGACAGTGCCCAGAGCCGCATGGCCCTGCTTCCTGTGGCCCCTCCCATCACAACATCTTCTTCAGGGTCCAAACTCCTCACCATCAGAGCCCCACCCAGGCAGGGCCCCCAGGATACTTTCTGAGTCCACCTAGGCCCTCCTCTGGCCTCCAGGGAGGATCATAAGGTCAAGAGACTTGCATTCCAAACTAAAGGCACTTGTTACTTCAGAGTTCCATCCTGAGTCTATTCGATTTTATAGAAAGCAAAGTTCAGGGTCAACATTTGGTTTAATTTGAATCATATGTCTAATATCAATATAAAGATATTTTTCTGAAACAAACTTTTAGCTAAAAAATAACAACCCTCATTTAATCAAAAGGCATCCATGACATTTCGTGCTGGTATTTTCTAGAACCTTTAAATGATTCTGGAACACAAAACTTGGATGTATCTGTTGTACCATGTGATCCACTGAGAAGCCAAATGAAGTTCACACTTTGATATCTTTGTGGGTTAATCAAGATCTCTTAGCAACTTGACAGGTTAAGTGGATCTAATTAAGCCCTTGGTATACATATTTACACAAGCTTTGGAGAATGGAGGTTGGAAAGGGAACACTGATATATTTGTTTACTGACAAGATTTTTCAAAATTGGATTACTATGGAAAATGTTCCTGGAGAAACCTGTTTACTGAGCATTTGAAAATGCCCACATATTACATTGTTAATCAGAAAAATCAGGTTGGAAAAAGAGTAGACAATAGAAACAGAAAAATGTTCTAATTCTAATTTTTTATATTTAAGAAACCTGGGAGAATACTTATTAATTGCTAATAATGTTGACCGAGCATCTGCCGTGCACTAGGGCTGTGCTAGGCACCCCATGGGTGCAGACGGGTGTTCAAGGGCAGCAGAGTCTGAGGAGCACAGAGCTCTGATGAGATCACAGGCAGATCTTGATTTTTAAAATATGCTCATCTGTGTTTGCTAATTTTCTAGCATGAACACATACACACCACAGTTTGTGTCTCTCATTAGGTGAGGAATAGAGCACAGACATAATAATGTCGAAGACCATCTCCTGTCTATCTTAATCACGTATCAAGTAATTCCATCTCACGAACAGCTCACTCTCCGACGTAGATTGCTTCCAAATCACAGACCATTTTGCAATGAGCATCTCTAAGTCATCATGTCTGGAGCCGTGCTCCCTAGTCCCTGCCCATGGATCTTCGCATTCTGGAGAACACTGCAGTCTGTGTGCCCAAACACTAGCTGGTTAAAGAGTTGCGTGGAAAGGACTAGACCGTGTTCGCCACCTAGTGGCAGAGGTATGTAACCGCAGAGGCTCTTTTTACACCCTGACCAGGTTCCAGATGAGAAATGGTGCTGGAGTCTACTTGAAAGCAAAGGGATCCTGATCTATATCACTGGATCTGCAGCAGGCTCATTCCCCAGAGCCTGAATATGCAACTGAGACTTAGAGACAGAGCGCTTTGGTGGCTGAGTATAAGGACTCACCACGAGCAGCCACCTCATTTAAATTGTTTGCCCGTGTGTCGCCCTCTCCCGACCTTCATCCTCAAGACCGAAAGTACAGCAATAGAGACTCCACAGCGTCTCACATCTGGACTCTCATAAGGCTGCCAAAACGTCCTTTGGGAGATGGTACTAGACAGAATATACTAGCCCTTGAGGGTCACCCCACTGCTCCCTTCTCTATCCTGGTTTAGAAAAGACCACCACCTGAACCACATCAGAAGATACGCTCTGAGCTGAGTAATAAATGACGAAATGAGCAGTCTTCAGCCTGAGGCTGGCAGACTGAGAAGTCCCAGTCTGAGCAAGGATCATCCCCATGGGAAGAGATGGGAGATGGAGGGATAAACGAAGGCAATTGGGGGGTGGTTATGATCAAAGTTCATTATATGCCGGCATGAAACTATCACAATGAAGCCCATTACTTTTTGTGCAGCTAATTACGCTAATAGAGTGTAAAAAAAAAAAGAAGAATCCTCTTAGAACATTTCTTTCCTAGGAACTGAGCAATGTTGGGAAAAATGACCCCAAAGGATAATCCATCACTTCCTTGTGCAAAGCCTGGCTCTCTTCAGCACAGACATCCAGGGTTAAATTATATCACAAGCATGAATTGCCAGCAATTAAGTTTTGTACCTAGATTAAGATCCTTCACAGGCAACAACCCCCATACCTGGGATATTCCATCTCCACTCTCCCAACCTCCAGGCTGGCTAGAATGTGTCTACGAGGAATGTAAACTCAATTTTTTATTGACCTTGGCTCAGTTTAATTAGGATGAAAAATCGGATGGGGGAATTAAAAGCACAACTTCAGGTCTAGTCTCAGTAAAATAGATTTCTTCTTTGTTTTTAACCATTCTAGGTGATTTCTTTTTCTTTTGTAATGGTGCTGGGATGGAACCCTTGGCTTTGCACATGCAAAGCAAGCTCCCTACCACTGAGCTATAGTATTAGCTCCATTCCTAGGGAGTTTTTTATTCGATACCTGCCTCCCCGATTTAGTTCAGGACTCAAATAATGGTAACCCCAAGCTTCCTGCCCCTTGTATCTCTGCCATTCTCCAAGACTGTACCAGATGGCAGCAGATGAAGCCTAGAGGAACACAGGGCTAAGGCTGAGCTTATGCTGGGATGGGCGGACAGCTGCTTTAACCCAGCTCTCAAAACCTGTTTCCCTGAGGAGGCTGCATGCAGACTTACCAAAGCCCACCGGCAGCACGATCTTCCAGGAGCAGTCCATGTTACTAGGGTAGTTGCCTGGGAAGCCGGGGCTCAGGATCACCCCCTCCATTTCTTCCACTGCTCCCCCGCACTGCGCTGTGACAATGAGAGGAGACAGGGGTCAGGGCATCCAGAGAGCAGGGCCATGACAGTGTTCAGAGGTACAGGTTTGTCTTTTCTGAGTCATAAACCTCTTTGAGAATCCAATGGAATCTCTCTGGAAATCTGCACACTGGAAAAATTGAATATGTAAATTCATGTCTGAAGCACAGCTTGGGTGCCCAGGAATGTCGACCTTGACCCTGGATGTCTTTATCCAAGGATATGTGGGGAAGTGATAGTGGTCTGCTCTAGGGGAGATCTGACTACTCCATTCCTTACACTATAATCAACTCACTTTTTCCTCCCTCTCCAATTGACTCTTCAAGACTGCAGGCAACAGGGCTGGAGAGATGGCTCAGCAGTTAAGAGCACTGGCTGTTCTTACAGAGGACCCAGGTTCAATTCCCAGCACCCACATGGTGGCTAACAACTGTCCATAACTCCAGTTCTAGGGGATCCGATGCCCTCTTCTGACCTTGTGTTTTCACTCTGGTGGGAGAAGAAATCTGTTAAGAGGATTCTTGGGCTTGAGCAACGAATACTATGAAATTTAGACCTTTAGAATAGAACTTCTAGTTGAGCATATTGGAACCTTTAGGATGGTTTCTTTTGACTTTAGATAGTCCTCTTGATTTATCCCAGTGTGCTAAAAAATGATCATTTTATTTGGTCTCAAGTAGGAACGAGCACAGTCAAAGTCTTCCTCTTTTTTTCTGTTTTAGATAATCTCACATTGTAGTGGCGCTTACTATTTATTATTTAGCTCAGACTGATCTCAAATTCAAGGTAGTCCTTGCCTCTATCTCTTAGAGTGCTGAAGTTACAGACCTGAGTCACTGTGACTAGCTCAAAGATCTCTTATTCCACGTCCCCCTTTTTTTCCTTCCTACTCTTCCTGGTACTTAACTAACTCATTGTTTTCTCTGTGTGTGAATGTATGAGGGTGTATATGAAATATCTTGGTTTTCTTGCCTGGAAAATCAACATTAACATTAGGGAGCATTTACAGGGATTTGAATAAGAAAATTAAGTGCAGGTTTTAAAAGTAACCTTGGGGGCTGGAGAGATGGCTCGGCAGTTAAGAATGCTGGTTGTTTTTGCAGAAGACCTGGGTTCGAATCCCAGTACCCACATGGCAGCTAACAACTGTTTGTAATTCCAGTTCCAGAGGACCTGATGGCCTCTTCTGTGTTCCGAGGGCATCGCACAACATGGGTGCGCTTATGTACATGCAGGCAATACACTCATACACTCAAAATTTTTTTTAAAAAAGATTGCAGACAAAGGACGAAGGAACAAGAAGTGACTGTCACTCATTGTGTGCCAGGAACTGTACCAGGCTCTTTCCAAATATATCTTCCATGGGGTAGGGCGGCCTACAGGTGAGGTTCACCACCCAACTGTGTGAGGAGGATCTGGAGATATCTGATTTCAGGGTTGTATGAGAATGCAGGGCTGGGGCTCCACAGCAGCTGGTCAGCTGACATCAATTTTCATCTTTCACATAAAATTAGGGAAGACTGCGTGAGCAGAGAGGAGCTAGCTGGTCATGGAGGCAAAGGGAAAGGTGTGGAGGGAAGGAAATGCCGGGTCTAGGCTGGTGCTTCCTGGGCTGATGGTGACTAGGAAGCGCACCAGAACAGAGCAGTGTAACCACTTGTGTCACGGTCCCCAGTTCACATCCTGTGGTGAACTCTCATGCCCCCAAAGCGCAGCACCCATCTCGGGGGGCTGCTGTGAGGGGCCTTGAAGAAGGGTGTGCTTCCCTTGGAGCCGGGCTGATGTGTGCAATAAACTCTACATGAGTGACAGCTGCTTCTCATATAGTTTCCTTGACCCGGCCTCTGTGGTATATACACTGGGCGGGTGCCTAGGGTTCCATGTCACATATTACATGCATGGCACGTCTGACCTGCTCTGTATGCTACTGAAATTAAAGGAGTGAAATACTGTTGTGCCTGGGTGATACTCTCTTGAGTCACCTTACTTTCTGAGGGAGATGCTTTATAGTCAAACCCACATTGGAGAACCTTTGAGTTCCATTTCGTATTTCTTTTGAACCTTCAAAGGTTTAGATTTCTGGACTGGGGAGATGGCTCATTATAAAGTGTTTAGCATGAAAAGATGAAGGTGTGAGTTTGGATGCCCAGCATGTAGAAGCCAGGCCCAGTGGTGTACCTGTGATCTGAGTGGATGGGAAGGGGAGGGGAGAGAGAAGTGGATTCCTGGAGTTCATTGGCCAGTCTAGCTGAGTAGGTGAGCTCTGGGTTCAGAGAGAGACTTTGTCTCAGAAAATAAGGTGAAAAGTGGTTGATGAAGACAGGTGCACATACCAACAAGTGTATACACCAGTCACACCTGTGCACACATGCGCATGAGTGCACACACACACACACACACACACACACGGCTAATAAATTCCCCCTGGAAATCTGCAGTGGGGAAACAGGTTGCATGGAGCCTGGCATGTAACAGACACTCAATTACTGCTTGTTTCTTGCTTTCTTGACCTGATTAGAGGTCTCAAGGGAAGCAACCCTGTCTTTCTTCATGTCTGTTAATTTCCTCAGCATTGCCTAGCACGGGCAAAGCAGTAAAGCCTAGCCAAGTCCTTGCTTCATGTGCAATCCATGTGGATTTATCAGTCTGTCCTTTGACAAGTCACAGGATAAGCCCGACGTGACTAACAATGCCATCTGGGGTCTGGCTGGCTATCTGGAATCACAGTGGTCATCATAATGTTTTCAAGTGGGAAGACTTGTAATTTTTTTTTTCATTTGGCAGGCAGAGTCTTAAGTCAGAATAGCTTTGAATGAGAGTTAGAGATTACAAAACCATCAAGCTGAAACTACTGACTTGGAACAAATCCAGAACATCAGATTTTCTTCTGACTTGAACTTGAACTCAGCAATATGCCAGTGAGCACTGATCCCTAGGGATCTGGACTTGAGCAGATTGTGGAGTTGGGTTCTCTTACCAATACAGAGTGGAGGAGGGTAGTTCCATCGTCTCACGGTCCCTGGCATGCAGGAAATATGGGCGTGGCCCTGGAGGGATGAGGAAGAGGAGTGGGCTAGTGGCCCCCAGGGCCCAGTTATACATACAACCCAGAACAGGGGTTTGCTTGGGACCTCATGTTAAGGAACATGACACAGATATACACGGATCCACCGTGGGGTGTGAGGTCAAGCAGGGGGAGAGAACTGGGGGGAAGAATAACAATCATTACTAAAGAATTCTCATTATGAAAGGTTTCCTTGTGAGATTCCTTTAATTACTCAATTCCCTCATGGCCTTCAAAAGAAAATTAAATTTTCCTGAAGTCCAATCAAACCCAGCTTTGCAGGAAGACGTTCAAAGCTGGCTTATGCTGGGTCGTTCCAGTCAGCAGTTTGTCTTTTGTATGATCAGTCCCAAAAGAGGCGGTGCTTGGTGCTTTGCTGGGGCAAACCCAGCCACTCATCTCAGGGGACACCTGTTCCCTGCCCTGGGCTTCCTTTTGAGGGGACAGATGTACCTGGAGGGCATATCCTGGCTCACACTGGAAAGAGACCACATCATTCACCAAGTAGCGCTCGCCGGTCTTCACCCCGTTACTTGGTACGGCTGGTTCAGGACAACTGCTCAGACCCACAGCTAGATAAGACACAGGTTGAGAGAGTGAAGGAGAATGGTCATGGGGTGCGGGGAGCACCCTGGTTGCAGACTCCCAGGCCTCTCTACTCGAGGTCCCCCCATATCCCTCCTGCACCTGCTCCCAATTTCCCTCTTTTCTTTGCCCTCTGAAGACAGTTTCTGTGGTGGGAGAGAGGCTACAGGAAGAGAGGGATGGGCACAGTTAGAGATGGGGCATCTCTGTGATATTTGGGGCTCAGTCAAAGTCCCCCTCTCAGGGGCAGGCTGTCCTGAGAGAAGTTTGCCTACCAGCAAGAGTCTTTGTTTCTTGCCTCATTTCTCAAGGTCAGGCCAGCTACCTTCTGGAAAGGGACCAAAAGCTCCTCCCACTTGGCCTACCCTGTCAGTGCTGTCTCTCACATACTGTTAGACCTTGTGCCAGCCTCCCTCTCATTCTCTGTCCCAAGCCACTGCTGTTGTCACCCATCCTCATAGACATTAGTGATGTTTAAAATCTTTCCTTGATGCATAGGACCTCCTTGCCCACTCTAAAGTAAGTCTTTGTAGTCTATCACAGGGAACTCAAGGACCTTCACGATATGGCCACACTCCTTTTCAAGATCAACTCTGTGGGTGCCCACATTCTCCTTTGTTCTCCCTCCTTGACTTTTAAAGTTCAACCTGTAACTCATTCACTAACCCTCCCTTCTTTTACAGTGGCCATGCAACCTTCACCATCATGACCATCACTGAAGGAGCAGCACTCACTGAGCCTGTCCCCTGAGTGAGGCAGGGTCAGTGAGTCCTTCACCTCACTCCGTCCCCTTGCTGCAGGCCTTCACTCTCACCTCACAGATAAGACATGGGTGAGAGCGACCTATGCTTGTGGTCTTAAGCCACAAGATTGGGATTCAGACCCATACCAGTCTGACTCCAGGCCTGTCCAGGAGGAGACCAAGCTCTGAGGCCACATAAACTCATGTAGGTACCTACGTCCTGCTCTCCGTGCTGTGAACCCCTCCTCAGTGAGTCCCACAGGCAGGAACAGAGTGCCTCCTGACTGGGGCTCTGTCATTTTCCCCCCACCCCATGGGAGCCCATCTTCAGGAGTAACAGGTGTGTGTACTTAGGATTCATGAACTAGATCTCTGTGTCCTGGTGAACTGGACGTGCGGTTCACTTCCCCAGAGTGACACTCAGGAGACTCATGAGGGGCACAGGGCTAGTTGGACACTGAGCTCTCCCCTCTTTCAAAGTGTGCTTCTTCATCAAAGGCATCAGTAGAGGGGTGCTCCCGAGGGGCCAGGCACTGTGTGGCTGTTTGAGCTGGTTCCTGACGGTTTGGGAAAGGGCAGCCTTTACCTTCCTGGCGGCTCCCTTGGCAGCCTGCAGGGAGCCAGGTGCTCAGGTGAAAGGAACAGGGGATTCCTGGTCATCCCAGGCAACCTGCCCCTGGTCTATCTCATGAGTCCTCATGCCCTGTTCAGATATGAAACCCTGATAACATTTTCTTCTTCTTTTTTTAAAAAAAATTTTTATTTATTATTATTTTTATTTTATGTGTATGAGTGTATTTCCTGCATGTATGTGAGAAACACCTGTGTCCTGAAATGCCCATGGAGGTCAGAAGAGGGTATCAGATACCCTGGAACTGGAGTTACAGATGACTGTTAGCTGTCATGTGGGAGTTGGGAACTGAACCCAGGTCCTCTGCAAGAGCAGCTGGCTAGTGCTCTTAACTATTGAGCCATCTCTCCAGCCCCAACAGTG